CCACCTGGATGGATAATTATTGTTTTGATAAAATGAATTGCTATGGCAATTAGGAATTGAAAATATGGACCCTAGGAATATTTGCAAATGTAGAAAGGAATGGCTAATTGACAGTGAATACTGACAATGTAGAAAAACAGATTGTGCGGAAGTAGGATATCTAAATGTTTCTGATGCTTGGAAGCCGGCAGCGCTCGGGCAGCCGGGCCTAAGATGTAAATTAATACATAAAATAAATAGGATTGCAAGTTGGGGATAAAGGCTTGTGAATACAGCTGGGTGAGGCTAATGGGCATTTCCCCAATCTCAGCTGTGCCACATAGCTGTGGGGAGCTGAGAGTCTGCCCAGGGCAGGGTGCTGGGAAAATCACATCAGGGTGGGAAGCTGAGACATGACAATCAATCATTTATGTTATTTTGGCTAAAACATAACGATGTGAACTGGTCTTACCTTGCTTCAGACCACAGTCATCCATGTGCTGCCTGTTCCCCATCTCCCCATATCTCATTATGGTTGAGGGTTTGGCTCATTCCTGCATTTTCCCTTCCACCTGAGTTTTGAAAAGCTTACTAGAGATTTCCTGGCGTCTTACCCCTGGAAGGCATGATCAAAGGCCTGAAAGCCACGACTCTGCTCTCTATAAAGTGCCTTTTATCCTCATTCACTTTTTCAGTCTTTACAATAGCTCAGTAAAGCTGTTGATCCCCATGCCCATTTTACTGGTGAGAAGACTGAGGTTCAAAGGAGCTCACAAACTTGCCCAAGAGAGAAGAGGGGAAAAGAGGAGAAGCGTGGGCAGTCCACACAGGTATGCTAATTCCTAACACCAAAGAGAGGGCTGAGGGATGCTGTCTCACTCTCTCCGGGCAGGTGCTCAGTCCAGCCTAGATGGGAAGCAAGAAAAGGTAGTGTCTCCGGCACCAGGAGGACCCTAGAAATACCCTATCTCCTGGGAGAAGGAACGCAGCTCATGCATGGACCAGTTCACCACTCATTGATAGCTCATGGATCAGGACAATTGGCCGAATGTGGGTAGGTACCTGCCAGGATGAGATGAAGACAGTGGTGGGGGGAGAGGGGAGCAAGTCACATACCACTCAGACTCTCAGAAATGTGCTCTGAGTTCCCAGGGTTGATGCAGGAACACATCAGAACAATGCAAGCAGCTTGGGTACCCCACCTTCATGTCCCTCCTCCCAATACTTACAGCTCAAAGGCCCCATGGAGAGCTCTGCTATCTTCCTTCCTACTAGAAGATGTGTAGGAGGAGGGGAAGATGGGAGGCTGGGACATGGGAGGCAAGGCAAGGGTGTGATGGTAGTCCTCAGGACCTCGCCAGAGCCAGTTGACAGTCCACTATTTTGGTCCTAGGGCATCAGATGGTCCCTTCCCCTCCCAGTCCTCCTGAGTGGCACCGCTGGTCATCTTGCCCCACCATGGCAGGAAGTGGAGTTTGCTCTTGTCCTCTCTTCTTGGTGCCCTGATACCTCAGTTTGACCAACCACAGCTTCCCAAGCAGGTTTCTCATGCTGGATCTCCTTCCCCCACAGGGTGGGGAAAAGAATGCCCCCAACAGACACACATACATATGCACACGTTCTCCTTGTTGGCAGGGAGGATGCACAGCTTTTTATCTCCCAAGAAAACCTCCTTCCTCTCAAATTTACACTCTACTACTTCATTCCTCTGAGGTGGGTGGTGAGCTAAAGGTGGCAAAAATCCGTTCCAGCCACCCACTCTGCAAGTCTTGCATAGACGATTTAGCACCTCACTTTGGAATGAGGGGATGTTTTTGCACTTACTATTTTGTTCCCCGCCTGTGGGCTTAGGGAAGAATCTCATTGTAGCATCTTGTCACAGAAGCAGAGACATAGAGACACAGAAGGCAAATGTCCCTCTTTGCACAGAGTCCCTCTTGGGCCCTGAGCTGTCCACACCCTTTCTCTACCAGCAGAGCTAAATTTCTATCACTCCCCAACCCAAAGGTTGCATCAGAGAAGGGTCCTCTGACAAGCCCAGGAGTTTGGTGGCCTTGTAAGCCTGGCTTTGCCAGTAAAGGGCCATGGGACCCTGGACAAGTCAATTACCCTCTATGGGACTATGTTTCTTATCTCTAAAACAAATGGATTGAGCTTGATGTCCCCAAGGTTCCTCCAGCTCTAGGATATTGAGTTGGTCTGGGGGACTGTCTGGGGCTGGCCGGGATCAGGGCAGTTCAAGGTCAGAGATGACGCCAGAATCCCTTTGGGCAGTGCCTGGCATTTCCACTTCAATGAATGGGCTGCTTTATTTCAGGTGACAGGATGGTCATGGGATCTATCTCCTATCTTAGGGACATGTCCTCCCCCACTTTAGGATAGAAACAAAACAAAAGGGCAGGCCCAGGGGGCACATCGTGCTCCCAGGACTCACCGGTTCAAGGAAGCTGCATGTTATGAATAGCCCTTCCCCACATCCCCAACTGGGAGCACAGTGAGCTGGTTTCCAAGCTCCCCCTCAGCTAAAAATAAAAATATCTTGAGCTCAGGGATGTTCCCAGTCATAAATCAATCAGCTAGCACTATTTCTGTGCTTATCCCTTGTCCAGGGTTCCTCTTATGACCTCCATCCTGGCCTCCCCATCCTGGCCTCCCAGTCACCTCAGTCCTGGAGAAGGATAAGGTTCATCAGTGGCTCAGGCAATATTTCAACAGTGTCGCCCTGCCTGTGTGGCCTACCCTGTCTGTGAGAAACAGATAGTTGTTCTGGTGCCTCCGTCAGCCTCCATGATCCTGCCTGGGTCCACTTTGACAGGCAGATCAACTCCCAACGTATCCCAGGTCTCCCCGCCTAGGAGCTGCCCACTGTTTGTGGTGGGTTTCTAGGAGTAAGTGTTCCTGAGTTAGCTCCTAGGCATGGCGAAGGGTAGGGCTTCTCCTTCGCGTGATTACATGGATTCGGTTACCTACTCCTAGAGCCACTGGGAGGATTAAACGAGACCATGAAGGTGAAGTATTAAATTTGGCACCTGGTACATTGCAGATGCTCGGAAAATAAGAATTGCTTTTCCCCCTGCTAACCTTCCATCTGGAGCTCAGTCCCCATGGCTGACCCATGTTCTTAAAGAGCTCCTTTGAGGAGATTTTTGCCAGCCAGTCAGCTTCAAATCTGGCTCTTGGAGAAGCCCTTGAGGACATTTGATCTACTCTGAGATCCTGAAACACTAACTTAGTAATTAACCACAGTGCTGCTGTGCCATCTGGAGACTGCATCTCATGCTCAATCTTCTACCGCCCTCTGCAGGTTATAGACCTGTACTGCAGGCGGTGCTGACTGCTGGAGGTGTGCCGCCCCACAAAGACCAAAGCACCTCCCTCTCTGGGCTTGCAGCAGTTACTGCAGAGCAAGGCAAGGTGTCTGAGGAGGACAGCGCCTCTTAAATAACAGTGATTTATAGCTCACAAATCTTGCTCATTGGAGCTTCATGACCACTCTACTTCTGCCTTGGTTATCAAAGCACAGATGGGAATTCTGAGTCTCAGCTCAGCCCTGAGAGCCTCACCAATGATGTCTCAGGTCCTGCCCCAGAACATTCTAGAAAATCATCTGAAGCAGACCTGCACATCTCACTGTAAATACCACCTTGATGTTTAAAACTTCAGCCTTAACCATGCTGTAAAAGAGACTGCACATCTGGAATACTTTGAAAAACGGACTTTTGTAAAAAACAAACAAAAAGTGTGTGTGTGTGTGCGCGCGCGCATGCACATGAGTGGTTATGCTTTTTAGAAATGAAATCTGGCTAAGAAGTGGAAGATACTAGCATTTGGTGTGATTATGATTACTAATAAGCATTTCTCCCATGCCAACCAGCTGACAGTTTCATTTATTAGTGACATCAAGCACCAGCTCAACTGCACAGTTTCTGTCGTGCTCCTTCTATGGCCAGAACCACAGACTCTGTCTGGCAGGCTGGATATTTTGGACAGTGAAGGCACATGACAATGTCTCATCGGCCACCCAGTACTACGTTGTGATGAAATCACCTGTTGGAGAAACCAAAGGAGACGTTTGTCTCTCTTCTGTTCTTTACCAACCGCAAGAGCTTGAGGGATTCTAAGCGGAGTTCATTCAGCCCAGACATTGCTTCATAGTAAGAGAGCCAAGTCTTTGATAGCTGCAGGTCCCTTATATAACTAGAGTTTTCAGGTCATGTATTTATAGACTTAGAGCAGAAGAAGATCTCAGAGATTATTCCCATCCAATCCTTTCATTTTGCAGTAAAATGAAACACAGAAAGGGGGAAATGACAGTCCAAGGTCACACAGGCAGGGACAGAGCCTGGATGAGAACCCAGGCCTCCTCACTTTCCCTCTGGCTGGTATTGATTTCAATAGCATCGTTTCTAGGTGAGAATTACTCTGGCTTCAAATGAAAATCTGATCTTACACAAAGGGAAGAAATCTAGCACATTGCAGGTTCTCAGTAAGTGAGACAGTTGGATTTTTGTGTTATAGAGTAATTTTACTTTATGCAGCTTAACAAAATTAGATACAATTAACCCTGGATTTGCTTCATTCTTTATTATTTTCTCTAGTGACACAAAGGTAGTTAGAGGTTTTAATCTCACCTCACTGTTTCGTTGTAAAATGTGAGTATGGTTGAGATTATAAGATGGTAATCGTTGGTTTGAAGGAAAGGCTTCCTGAGGAAGGCACTCAGATTTAGAACAACTTTGGTTTAAGTTTCTGAAGGTTTGTGGGAATCCTCTTGGAGGGGCAGACACCATTAGCACTTGAGGTTACACAGGCTGTCCAGTGAGTGGGGACATCACACAAACACTTCTTAAACCTTCCCCCAATCCATGATTAAAACAGACTTGCCCCAGAACATTCTAGAAAATCATCATTCTTGAAATGATCCCAACTGCCTCTCAGCCTCACAGTTCTAAATTTGATCATCATTGTTTGCAAATCATATTTTTTCAAAATCTTCCAATGCATTCCAGTTCTTCCAGGTGAATCACAGCTTTGTCGTCCAGCTTGTATAGATCTGGGTTTTGTAGTATGTGCTTCCTGCTCCATGGAAGCTCCACTGTAGCACAAGAACACTCTGCTGGGGACTTTCTCTTCAGACCCTCTGAGACCAGGGCTTACAGTTCTCCTGTGCTCCAGTGACACACTAGGAAGGAATGAAGAGCTCTCATTGCCAGGATCTTCTGATGATACCCCTCCCACCCTGCCATACACATGTCACCTCCCACCACTGCCAGCCACCCTTCTAAGACCAAACATCATTCTATAGTCTCAGCCATTGGGAATGCCCCAGGGCAGGACCCTTTGGTTTCCTAGTCATTCATTTATTTTTACTGAGCACTTTCCAAATGGCAGCCATTCCCTTAGGCTCTGGAGATATGGTAATGACCAATTTAGAAGTGGTCCTTCCTCACTGTGGTACTCAATCCTTAAAAAAGCACAATTGACTCAGAATCCGCTGCTCATGCAAATCCATTACATGGATTTTAAATCATTGATGTGTTGTTACATAGAAAAGAATCTTTGTTTTAGGTTGGAGGCCTCAGAGGGCCTCTTTAAATGATTAAGTTCCACATTGGATTGTTTGTAAGAATCTAACCTTGCAGTACGTGTGAGCTCATTGGAAGCCTTGCAATGCCAGGTAATGAAGGAAACTCTCAGAATTGGGGGCCATCACAGGTTGTGGGCCATGGAAATTTGTGGGAACTTCACTGTCTAGGAGCTTACACATGGTCTGTGTGGTTTTTAATCTCATGGCTAAGCTATAGGCAGACCTGAGGGGAACGTGACCAGGGGCCCATATGGCTCTTTCACCCTCAATGCAGAGGTCTGGGATGGCAGATTTGCACCACCACCCCTCTCCCCTCTGGACTCTCCTACCCTCTCCCCATGCTCGGAAGACTTCTGGTCCATGAGTACCCACTTCATTGCTAAACCCAAAGGCCTATCAAATTTCAAAAGGACGAAACACAGCTTGAGTATCAGATAGAATCCGGTTCTGCTAACCCAGTGGAGATGGTGGTAGCAAAGGCAACCTGGGAGTTCAGTGCACACAGCGACCAATAGCACAACTCAGAGCAGGGCTGGTTCTGAGAGTCCAGCAGTGGAAGATGTAGTCCTAGCAGGCTCTTATTTTGTCACAGAGGGACTTCCCAAAGTGTTCTGACAGCCATGGGTTCCTCTACTGCATACCCCTCCATGGTGGTAATCACCACATAAAGCCATCATTTGGTTTCCCAAAAGGCTGTGAAGTCCTCAAGGGCACCTACGTGTTCCCAGTATCGGTGTGGCATATGGTAATCATGAGGCAAATGAGGCTGATCTAGTTAATAATTTCTTCTCCCCCTCCACCGCATCTCCCTAGTGCCTCATAACAGTGTCTTTATTAGAGGGGTCCCCAAATACTACTGACTAACACTAAAGATTTGGCATATTTGGAGTTTTCTTCATCGCCTGAAACTAGATGGAAAATGGTGAAATCTGTGGGGAATGGCAATTACCACATGTTCCTCCCACCTCTAGACAGGCCCAGCGGTAAGCTGCAGCTTCAAAGGGGTTTCTCCTTCTTCCCTTGCAAGTTCAAGTGCATACCCAACATGCACAGCAATCCAGCCACTGACCCAGGGCTGCCCAATCGAGAGACCCTGGCATTTCTCCTTTTTGTAGAACCTTCCCCTGCAGTGTGCCAGCCTATCCCCAGCCCCTGCTGGAGGGAGCGAGTGTCTGAGAGGCATCCTACCAAGGTGGTGAACTGGTCCACACAGGCATTGCGGATCTTCTCCGGGGTCGCAGGGCTGTCCAGCTGGAAAAGTTGCTTTGTACTATAATCTGCACGCTGAGCTCGAGCTGCCCGAATGGCATCCTTGATGGCGAAGAAGATAGAGGCAGCCAGGAAGAGGGGCGGCTCCCCAACAGCCTGAAGGGCCAGAGTGCAGGGTAGGGCATCAGCAGCTGCCCTCGCACACAGACTCAAGAGACCAGGCAGCAAGTCCACACCAGGGGGGCTGGTGATGCCAGCAAAGCCCCACCCAGCACTAGCAGGGCAGCACCCAATCCAACAGGAAGAGGTAGTCAGAACTCATCAGGGACTGAGAACAATAAGTCTGGACTTCATGGGTATGCTCCTGTAAGTTCCTGCTATGTGACTTCCTCTGATGATACTTTGTAAATATAATGTACTATTATAAGTTACATTAAATAATTATATTTTGTGGATTCAAAAACCTGACATGAGTTTTGACCCTTTCTTCAAAGTTACTAGCCTAGGGGGAGTATCTTACGGGCACCATAATTACACTTGCAGCATCTTCTGGAATTATAGGGCATGACAAGTAGGAATTAAAACACTTTCTCACAGAGGTTGACTAATTTTCCCCAAAAGCATAGATCAGAGACCACCTCCATCAGAATCACTAGGGATACTTATTTTAAATGCGTGTTCCAGGAACCTACTCCTCAGTCCTACCAAATCAAAATTTCTTGGGGTGGGCTCCATAGAGGTGCAATTTAATCCTGAACCCTGGTGACTCCAATGCATGACAGAGTGTGGGAGTCAGTGGGAAAGGTCACAATGTGTTCTGGACCCACCCACTGTAAAGGGTGAGATAAGCCAATGGATATTTCACTGGTCACCTTCCTTCATAGTGATTATTGCCTTCCTTTGTAGGTCTAGGATTATACTGATCAGCTAAATTAATTTTCAAACTCTGTTTTGTACTTACTGGGAACAAGGAAGAATAAAGAATAGTTATTTACACTCTTTTGGCATGCTGACCAAATCGTAAGTTTGGGTCTGGGTCACTGAAGGAGGCGCCAGGGTGAGCTCAGACATTGCTCTCCCACCCTCAGGGAATATGCTGATTTCCGTGGGACACAGGGATGCTGCATCTATAAAACCATCTCTGAGGATCAAGCCCCAGGGATGCACACCTGAGATACAGGTAAAGGTTGGGATTTGCTCTACAGGATGTGATTAAGGAACTCCTCTGTCTACCATAGGAGCTGGCTTCAGACTACAATAAGGTGGTGCCCTCAACCCTGTTTAACTGGTTCTCAGGTGGCACTGCCCAGCCATCTGCTGTCCTCGCCAAGGCCAGTGTCAGGCCCTCTTCTTTCTGCAAGAAGAATCCCTTGCAGACCCACCAGGTGGGTAGCTAAAGCCCCTCATCGCCACCTGTGGCCTCCCACAGTGCATCCTGGAAGGCAGCACGGACTCAGAGCAACGTACCTTGGATGCATAGATGGCCTTCTTGTTGGGGCAGTCGCGGAGCAGGGACACCCTGAATTCAATGGGGATACTTCCAAATGCAGGTATCTTATAGGTGCTGGGCCCGCGGGTGTGCAGGCTGCCCTCGGGGGAGTAGTGCAGCTCCTCCAGGGTAAAGAGGCCAAGGCCCTGAACAAATGCCCCTTCCACCTGCAAGATAAATGAAGACCACCATTACCTGCCTCTCCCCTCCCCAAGGACAGAACCACTAGCAGCAATGAACACAAAGACCTATATGGAAACTAATATAGTCCCCTACTAGTCACCTGGTTCCTACCCCAACCCTGCAATAACCTAGATGGCCTTTGGCTTAGACAAAACAAAGGCATGAACACTGAAGGTCAATGTCAGAATTTGTAGGCAATTCTAGGAGGATCACATGGGACAGGCATAATTTCCCACTAAAACCTGTCACATGCAGATGGAGATGTTCCTTCCACATCATCACTGAAGAAATTGTGGCCCCAAACTGAGAAGTAAGCTCACAGGAGGAATTTCTTGGATAGTAGTTTCTTTGAGATTGACCTCCAGTCTTACTGAGCCTGTTCTCTGGGAGCAGATGCCCCTGCTGTGGCTTAAAGATCTCTTCTAAGGCACCTGACATACTACGCTGGCCCCATGACTGCTGTCCCAGCTCAGAAGGGTGACATGTGGCATCACCATGACTGAATGAGCCTTCAGGGAGAGGCCAGCTGGTAACCATCCTTGCCTCTGCAGTTCCTAATGTAGTACCTGCACCAGGGGGGGACTCCCCAGGTGACTGCTCAACGAACAAGTGAACAGATTGACTAATGACTAGATGTCCGTATCCTCAGTAATTGTCCTTTTTTGAGAAATGCAATGTTTATTTTCTACCATATGCTCACTACATCTCAACTCTCTGCTCTTCCCTCTCTCTTCTGTTGCTATATATAATCCTCTATTTTACAAAAGCGATTTTCTTTGGGTCATTCCTGAACTCTTGGTTGTGCCCACGTCTTTGACCCCCAGGGCCCTCCCATGCCCCATGCTCATTGCTTACATCGATTGCCTTCCTGGAGGATAAATGCTGTCTTGGCTGAAAGAATTAGGAGGAGAGAAAGGACTCTTCTAACCTCAGACCCTACTCCCTGGGCATCGATCCCAAACTCAATCTCCATGCGCGTGCGCATATGCACACACACATACACCCAGTGTTTTGCCATTCATCATCTTGTTCCCCGGGGTGGGAGTGCCCTTTCCAGGTTAATCCATATTCATTTATTTTCTGCCTCAAAAGTTGGGAGGGCTATCATCAATCTAAGTGCCCTTCTGGGGGAGACTCCCTACAAGCCATTTTCTGGCTGTTTAAAAATAATATTAAACAATCTGCTGTATGGCTGGTGACCCTAGTGGGGATGAAGTACATCAATGGTCCATTCTGTCACCACTCTGGTCTCCCATGGGCCTTACCTGTCCAATATCAATGGCAGGATTCAAACTGGAGCCAACATCCATGACAATATCGGTGCGGAGGTTCTGAAGTAGATGGCAAACAGAAGCAGTTTGAGAAGAAAGGAATGTTTAAACTAACCATAGATGGGTCTTGGCCAGCCCGGACAGTGTTTTCACAAGCAAAGATCCCTGAGCACACTCAGGCAAAAGAGTTAAGTTTCCACCATGTCTTGACTGTCCTTGTCACTGCTGAAGTTTGAGATCCTAGCAGCTAGGTAGGGGACAGGGAGCAGCAATGATCTCTCAGCAATCAGAACTAACTGTGTACCCACTCATGCATGAGTAGCAAGGGCGGGTTCCCAGGGGCCTGTGGGCTTGAACCTGAGTCTGGGTAGACGATGTAAGAAAGGGGTCAACAAACTGTGTTCCAGGGCTGAATCTAGCCTGTTCTCTGGTTTTGTAGGGCCCAAAGGCTAAGAGTTATTTTATTAAATGGGTGAAAAAAATAAAAAGATGAATATCTTTTGACAAGAAAAAAAGATCCAAAATTCAAATTTGTGTTCATAAATAACATTTTACTGGATCATAGTTGTGTTCTTTGCTTATATCCATGTTGACTGCTATCACATGACAACTACCATGTGAGTGGATGAAGCAGAGACTCTGTTGCCTGTTGAGCCTAAAATATGTTCTTTTTGACCCTGTATGCAATATTTGCCTATTCCTGATGTTAGGCATCATTTTCCCAACCAGAGACCCTGACTCTATCAGCTCTTAGGATTACAAATCAGTTGTTTGTCTTCTCTTTTTCCCCTTAGGATTAAGGTTTTACAAACTCCTTACCTTATGATCCCCTGTTAAGCAGTCAATTTCTACTTCAGAGCAAGCCACCCCATAGGTGAAGTAGTGGAAGGGATTCCCGGAGTTTGTCTCAAATTTGTAGCCAAGGTTGGGTGTCCTTGGAAAGAAAAGGGAAGAAGCTGAATGTATTAGGATAGCCCACCCTTCCCATATCCCACAGCCTGTTCCAAAACCTTTAAGCCCTAATTATTTTATTCTCCATTCAGCTATTAAAAAAAAGATCCCATTTATTTTGAATATTCTAAAACTTTAATGAGACTCAGGTATTACCAAGCATTTTCCGTTCCATTTTTCTAAGGCCCTTGTTATAATCTTTCTGCACAGCCTCGTGGCATTTAGTATCAGCATGCTGGCTTTGCATGGTAGAAACAGAGGTGATGGATTTGCCGGGGTTCACAAAGGACACGAAAGTCACTCTGAAGGATGGAATGAACTAGAATCCCAAGTCTTCAGAACTGTGATGGTGCTTGGGTTAGTCACACAAGCTTAGCTGCTTACCTTTCTCAAGTGAAAGTTCCCCCAGGGAATTCATGCCAGCCTGGGGGCATCTTTAAGTGCCACTCCCCACTTCCTGACACTTTCAAAATTTCAGCAAGAGATTTGAGAAAAATGTTATTTATAGAAACAAATGTTTCTTGATAGACTTTTTTCTTTTTTGATCCTGGGAACCTTATACAATTCTGATTTTGTGGGGCGGGGATGTAGCTCAGTGGTGGAATGCCTGCCTGGCACGAGCAAGGCCCTGGGTTCAATCCCTAGCACTGTACACACTCACACACATGCAAAAGCCCAAAAGTCACATGCATGTGCATCTTTAGTGTCACACACACAGTATATACTAAACTGAACCTGCGTTATTTTATATATTATACAGAAGTAATGTGAACAGATATGAACAGGAAACCACAAAAATAAACTAATATAGGACCGAGGGAAAAGACTTCTCCTCCCAATAGAACCAGCACTTGACCTCTGACTTCACCATATTCATCTAGCTCTCCCTTATAAAACCCTACTTTTATGAACTTCAAATATATAATAGAAACTTTTTAAAAATCTGCATTAGTTTGTGTTTGTATAAGCCCAATATTATATGACCTGGAGAATATAGGACAACCAATTCATATATACACACATATATGTGTGTATGTACATATACAGAGAGAATATATATTCATGCATATTAATAATGTTCATACGTTCATGCAAGAAATTTTAAAGCAAACATTTTTAAAGCAAACCATTCTTCAATCTCTTGACCTGTGAAAGAAAAGGTTCTAGTTAAATTTCCCAGAGATAGCTAAAACATTATGACTGACAGTAAATATGACCAACTCTTTTTACAGCTCCTAGTCAGATGGGCAGGTCTCTAGCTATTCACACTGCTACTGAATTTTAAAACTGCAGAAGGTATGTGCTCTCTTTTAAAATCTCACTGCATTAATAAAGTTCCCCTGTACCCTGCATGTCCTCTTCCATTCTGAGGGAAACCTGCTCTGAAGAAGTCTGATGCCCAGTACAAAGAAGCACACAAGGGTTACCCAACTCAAGCAGCAGACACCCCAGAACTTGCCAAATGCCGGGGCAAGGTCAATAGTTGATTGGTCCCGTCTGGAAAGGGAGGACACAGGCTCCAAAGGAACCATGTACTTCTCCAAAGGAAGAAGTACACTCAAAGACCCAAACTAGAAGTTGATCTCCCAATGCGGCAGCTCCCGCTTTTGCCCTCCTGACTCATGGTTTGGTAATCCCACAAATCTAGAGCATCCTTAGATTCAAATTAGTGGAAATCCATTGGAGAGATAAGCGTTTCAGTAGAACTGCCCTCTCCTGAGCATGGACCGACAGCATTTGAAGCTGGAGGGGACCTGGGACCTTAGGATGACCACCCATGGCGAGACGGGCAGGGCAGGATCACACTTACTTATAAAACCCAGTAGCAGACAAGCTCACTGCATCCTCGTAGGCAGCTTTGACCTGAGGGGAGGAAATGGCCATCAGGAAGTGGCAAGTGTGGTTTCCCAAGAGCCCGACTTGCCTTCATGCTTTCATGAGCTCACCCTCTTCATCTGGAAGCTGATCTGCTAGGGGCTCCTCACTCCTACCACCTCCACCAGGCCCTCATCGTCTGGAGGCTGGAGTGCAATAGTAGCCTCTTAACTGGCCTCTCTGCCTCAGGTCACCTCCCCAGCCCAGCTGGAGTAGCCACCTTAACACACGGCACTGCCGAGGCAGCTCCCTCCTCTAGAGCTCTGGGTGACCCCCTATTGCCTGTGGAGCAGATGCCTGACGTTAAGGAGCACAGCCTTCCCTCTGGCCTTCAGCAGCACACCAGCCAAACTCGAGTGTCACCCCTTCCCAACCCCTCCACGTCCCCACATTTAAGTTCTTCCACTACTTCTATTTCTTCCAAGACTAGCACAAACTCACTGCTTTAATCACCTCTCTTTGGTGATTATTTTCTACTCAGGCCATTGTAAAAGCAACTGTCTAGAGTGTTCCTCATACTCCACACGTTAACCTTATACTTTTACTTACAGTTTCCTAGCAATAAAATTATTCGTCTATACTTTACTTGTCTAATAAATAGCTTTTGGGATACTCCCACGCATTGGCATATGAAGATTTAAACTGCTCTTGATATAATTTGGATCACCATCATTGTCAATTACCAAGCTCTTTACTAGGTACCAGATGCTAAATAGCACTTTGCATATCTTATCTGAATACTCACCATAACCCTATAATATCTGTACTATTATCCTCATTTTACAGATGAAAAAACTAAGGCTTACAGAAAATATTTTGGGCTAGGATCTGCAATAAGCCTATGATATATTTTTTTGTGTATGTGCACATACATGCTGGTGATGTGGCTTAGGAAGCATGGTTGTCTGCTTCAAGGGACATGAAACGACATGGCTGGTAGTAGAGCACAAAGCTCAGATCAACTGGTCACATGACAGGAAACATTTAAACTGCCTGCCAAGTCCATGCTAAAATGCAAACTACCGGAACAAGCTACATCCAAGCACTATTTATGCATATGATAAATAAGTAAGTGTGGGAAGGAAGTCGAGGTTATGTGAGACCTGGAAAGATGAGGAGGTTTGGCTGTGTTGAGGGAGATTGGTCGACGTGCAATCACATTCAGTGTGTTACTCTTATGCCCAGTTCTCCTGTTCCTGTACTGGGACAAGAGCTGGAGCCTCCATTGATATTCCTGCCTATTGCAGAAGCTGCAGTCTCCCCCCCCACCCAAGAGACTCCTCGGCAGCTTCCCTCTGAGGGCTCCTTGTGTGCAGGCATCTGGTTTAGAATTCAGTGCATTGGGCTCACTCTTCCTGCAGTGTGTGTTGTGTTATTCCTAAGGCCACAGGAGTGATGGAAGCTTCTGGGGGATGTTTTCTCCCTGCTCTCTCACAAAGGGCAACTCAGTGGACCCAGACCCAAGAGTGGATGAGGGGAGAGGCTGCCAGGGGCAGCCCTCAGAGAGATGGAGGCTGCTCCATCCAAAACATGATGTAGGACTGGGCTCAAGAGAGCAAGGACTTCCTAGGGAGGTGTGTCTGACAGTCATCCTACCCTCTCAGGCTCGGGGCAGCCAAACCCCAATCCCCACAGGCTGTCAGGATCCTGGATCAAACATTTTCAAGATACTTCTCCAACTCTGAAATCTATGGAGAAAGGGGCCGAGAGAGGTTGAGTTTTACTTGCCCTGTGAAACCTTGCAGACCACCTCAACTTCCTCTGCCTGTGCGACTAGATTATAATGTTTCTACATGTGTTCAGGGTAGGGGAGAGGCCCTGCTGCTATTAGCTTCTCTCCATTTGCAAGAGTGTCTTTGATCGGCTCAGACTTACCCAGTCTTTCCAGGAGCCTTTGGGATTCTTTTTCTTGAAGGGTTCCAGCCTTTCTAGGATGGTCTGACAGGCTGCCTGAAGAAACCCCCACCATACACAAGACAGGTCAATCCTCTGCCCTCTCCAGCCCAGGATAAGGCCACCTCCAAACCATGCTGTGCCCAGGGTTCTGCTCAAACAGCCTTGCTACCCTCCAGAATGAATGAGGCCCAGGATAAAAGTCACAGGGCTCTGCCTAAGGGGCTGCCATAGGTCCTCACTAGGGAACCTTTCCTGACCTAGTTCCTGGGCCAACAGGGAATGTTTGCAAGCCTCCCAAGGAGGTGCCTTCTTCCATCAAACTCTCCTACATGGGAGAGAAGCAAGTGGGTCTGACGTAACCCCTCCCATAATCAAATTTCCATTTCAGCCAGTTACCATGTGGCCAGTTTCAACACCAAAGGATGTGCCTTCCCTGAAAACTCGGCTTTCCCTCCACCTTCCCTCCCCTTCTGCACCCATCGCTCTTGGCTTTGATGGAAGTTGGATTTGGATTCTTGGACCTCTCTTTTTGCTTGGTGTTTGGAGGCAACATCCTCCTGGGAAACAGAGCCAAAGGTATGACCATAGCCAGAGAACTGTCAAAGATTCATCCCGACTCCCAGAGGAGGCTCTCCAGGCCCCCAGCCCTGAGCTGGCTCCTGCAGGCTCCTTACGTAAACAGCCTGACCATTGATGTCAGTGCTGACAGAGGCAGCCGTGGGAGAGGTGTTGGGCACAGTGTTAGTGCTCGTCTCACTGATGTAAATCTTGGAGGTGGGGATTTTCAGAGCTCTGCTGGCAACCTGCAAAAAGAGAGGACATCACCCTGTAGGGAAGAGGCTATCATGGCTGCCTTCTCCCTAAAATAGCTCAGGTTCCCTGTTAGAGGAAAGAAAAGAATTTTGTCAACTCTAATCCTATTGATTCTGGGATGTTCTTGCACCTGGCTGATATTGAAGGAGCACCTTATAAAATGGTTTGGAGGATAAAACATTCATAAACCCATCAATGACTAAAGGGACCTTTTCAAGCTAACACCAGCCTTTAAAACAAAAACAAAAACAGTTTGGCCAGTCTTCAGGGGTCCAGCAGATGTGCTAACCATCATGCCACCCCATTATCCTGGCTGCCCTGTGAGAGCTCTTAAGGAGTGTGGGAAACTAGCTGCCATTATGTATTCAATGTACCCCACCTCACACACAGAGCCCCAGGGCCCTAGCATGGTGGTAATGAAGGCGTTCTCAGAGAGCACTGGCCTGTCCCCTTTCAGATGAAGAAACTGAGGACAGGAGGGGAGAAGTCTTGCCCAAGGCCACACGTTCATGAGATCCCAGGCCCTGGCTGCCCTGGCACATCTCACAGCTCAGTTTCTCACACAGCATCCTCCCTCACAATAGCCACCAGATGTCAGAGAGGATGTCCACAGCCCCGGGTGCTCACCTGGACCATCTTGGTGTGCAGGCCTTGGCCCATCTCAGTGCCCCCATGGGTCAGCAGCACAGAGCCATCTGTGTACACGTGAATCAGGGCTCCTGCCTGAGGAAAAAGAAGGATGCCAGACACAGAATTCAGTAAATCCCACTCATTTTAAGGCTTAGGGCCTAAGAAATGGAGCCCAGAAAAAAGAAAGCAAGCAACTGTGGATATAGACCCAGACAACATTTGCACAGTGTGAATCTCCTCATCCAATTAGGTGGCCTTCGGTAGTTCACAAAGTGCTTTTGCACCTGTCTCATCCTCAGAGGGAAGCAGGCCATCTGTCTTTGATCTTTGTCCTCACTCTGTACATGAAAGCGCAGTGGCTGTCCAAGCCCTGCAGTTGGGAAAGGTGAGGATCAGAGACTGACCCCAGATCTCCACCTCTCACTGTCCTGTGACATACTGTACAGATGGTGATATGCAAATTCAACTTTCACTCCAACAGCAAAGAGCTTCCCTGGTCAGCTCTGGTTACCAGCGACCATGGGATTACCCCTGCAACAGGCGAAGGAAATGGGGCCTCAGTCCAGTGGAGATGGAAAAGAAAAGAAAAAAGAAAAAAAAAAAAAAAAAAAAAAAAATATA